CGCGAAATTTGATTTACTCACTAGCATTCTTGCCCAACATCTTATTTTAAACTCTGGCAGATTCGAACCATGTTTTTCTCTGAGTTTTTTTAAATAAATCTCATATGGGTCTTCTTCTTCTTCATCAGACTGACTGGCTATATTGTTGTTTATGGAAACAAACAAACAAAAAAATAGACTGTCAATATTGAATCGCTGCACTTTGACTAAGGATTTTTGACAAATGCAATAATAAGAAAACAAATACCTTTACGCTTTTTCCCAGGCATTTTACTTGTACTAGCTCCATGGGGATCCACCCATAATGTTACCATCCCTTTCTTTGCCATAGATAGTGCCTCAGCAAGTTGTACTGGATTAGAAATGCTAAATTTCTTACTCTTGTCCCCAAAGTAGCCTATTTGGAAGCTACTATCTGTAGCCGGCGATAACTCGTCTGAACAGCGCTCAAGCAGGTAATCCTTTAGCGCCTGCACGTTATCGAAATTTGGGACATCCTTGATAGAATATGATGAGAAACGACTCTTATTTTCTTTTCGCAAAACGCGAAGACAAACGTGTAGTTTGCTCTCCATTGTGCAATAAATAGAGGACACTTGATTATCCGCGAAACTCGCACCTTGTAGCTGTGCATTAATTAGTTATCCCCATGATCCTTTTCGGTCTAGGCGCGTAGGCATGAAGCCGATCAAATGACAACGTTTAGTCAAAAGACTGTATGCGGCACATACCTGTATAACAAATAGTCATCAGTCGTGGACGGTCGCTTAAGGGAGATAAAAAAGAATGAGAAATTCTACAATTTCAATCTCAGGTGGTTTATATAGGGAACAAAACGGAAATTTGAAAGGTGGTCGCTTACGGGAGATGGTCGCTTACGAGAGTGGTCGTTCAAAGAGAGTTAATACTGTAATCAAGTGAAGAAATGTCTTCCATGAAATGCCATGGAAAAAATGCAGCAACAGGCCCGCAGCAACGGTAGTTGACAAATTGAGTTGAGCCAGTCACGAAGTTTTATTTGAATCTCGTGATGAAAGGCAATTTGAATACTACCGAATTAATTTATAAATGAATTTCATACTATGACTTAATAATAAATAGTGCAGCGCGGATGTTACGTGACAGATTTCTACTCCCGCTTGCATTCGGGCAAACGCTGAGGTCAATACAAAAGAAATGTATGTGGAATTTGCGCGCGCCTCATTAAATGCGCTGCAAAATGCAGTAGTTTTGACAGAAAATGACGAGTTTCAAGGTTCAACGCTTCACATAACTATGCTGTCAAGCACTTAAAACGCTTGTTGAGATGTCGAGGTCCAATGCAAAAGTGCCAGGAAAGCGAGTTGAGTTGGTTGCTTGCGTTAAGAGAGTATAGGAACTCGTATGTTTTGTGATCCCGAGACCGTTGATGTTGCTTGTAGATCCCTCTATCATTCGAAAACATCGTCCTTGCTCTGGAGTTTGTTCAGAGGATTATGGAAAAATTGGCCAAAATGTCCACAGGACATTGACTTTCAAATTTTCTGGAAAAGAATGCGTCCAATTGCCCCTAGCCTCCGCCTGGCCTGAAACGGTTGACAAATAGCGAATGACTTTCAGATGTTTCACGGCTGACGGTTAATATACATATTAAATACTGGTTTATATATATATATTAAATACTGTCTGATGAGTGCGTAGCACGAAACTCGGAGTTGCAGCAAAATCTTGTCTCTTTGATATCATATATATAACTAGCTCTACACTTTATCGGCCACTTCCTCATACGATTAAATATATCTCTATATATTTAGGTAGTATGAAGTTTTAGTGACATCCTGGATTTAATTGTTGAAGGTTGTGCCTTTTGAAAAAGATTTTCATAAGATAGAAGGTTATTTTCCAGTTGTGTGACAACTGTTGACCCCTAGGCGCCCAAGTATGTCCAGTATTGCGACATGACACGGGTTGACAAACCAATTTGACGGGTTGACCATGTCGCGATCCAAACAAAGTACCGCCTACCCTCCCCACCCCAAGTTCAATTTTGTTTGATATTACCAATCTGTATCTTTTACCTTCCRCTCCCTATAAATATTTCTATTCCATTTTTGAAAATCATGTGATTTAACACACCACATTTACGTGCGCGCTCGCGACTTGATATGTGCACTCGTCAGATCTCATGTTTGTCACAGTGTGTCATGAAGGATTTAATTGAATATTTAATCAGCATTTATACAGGTTTTATAACATTTTGAGCATTTTTTTTAATTAACAAAAGATATAGAATAGTATATTTTAAAATGCCAAAAGTATTTACATGTTTGAATTGTGGAAATGAATACAAAAATGACAGAAGTTTGAGAAAGCACTATTCAAAATTTCCCGACCACCGACCACAAAGGCAAGAGGTAAGCAATTTTTAAAAATTGGCAGCATANTAGCCACATTTCTTTTACGAGTGGATCGTGCAGTAATATTCACAAAGCCACCTTCACTGAAGTGTTTAGAAAATTTCTTCATTTCTAGCTTATCAGGAACTGAAAATAGATAATGCTAGTCTTAAATCAGTGCCACCAATTATATAATTTACTTAGGTAACAAACATTAAAGAGATTACCTTGGAGCTGTGACCACTCTTCAGTCTTTCCTTCTCCAATTGCATATGATCTCCAGCATGTCAAACCATTGTCACTGTAGCTAAAATTACTCAGGGAACTGATTCCTTCAAGTTTTCCGGTCTTAATTGAGGTTAGAGAGCCAGAATCCTCTAGTGTAACACGCACTCCTTTCATACCACCATTGGATGTCATTGCGGCATACAGGTCTTCTGCAGTCTGCACATCATTTCCTTCGTTCAAATGGCGTCGGACATGTGCCTTAACGTTGGCCGCCTTACGATCGCAGGCACCCTTTCCACCTTGCGGCTCACTAAAATCTACTCGAGCAACCTAATAAAAATGAAGAGATGGTAACAATAGATATTCTCATTATCATGTTATGTCTTATGAATAAAAATTACCTTAATCCCTGTCGCCTCTTTCATAAGATGGCAGGCTACTAGTACAGACGTGCTGTGGTAGCAGCCAGCGTTGTCATGGCGATAGTATGCCGTTGTTATCTCTGGGTTTTCGGCCTTTKGTGTACGTAGGGTGTGCTCCATAACTGCTATAACGGAGTCAGCATCTTGACTACAATTCTTGAGTATGTGGATAAAAGCTTGGTGTTGCAGTTCACCTGACGACGTTTTATGCATTGCGACAGATATGTGCCATGAAATTCCTCTCTTACCGAACCAGTCTGACTGGGTTTCTCGGAACTTTTGTGGGAGGAATTTCATGGCCCAATCCTCCGTAATCATAACTTTATTTGGGAGCTAGCTGATTTATTATGGAATGTCGAGGTTTATCTTGTTGAACAAATCGTACTTCGTGCGCTTTCCAGGCAGATATTGCAGTAATGGCTTGGCTAGTTCTAAACATGATGTCATCCCAATGGTCATTTGAAGGAAGCTGGCCCTTACTTTCAGCTACAGCATTCTTGATCTCTTTAAGAATGGCTTTTAAATCTTCACAGGAAGAACAGCTCAAGTCATGGTCATGGTCACACTTTTTCTCGAAAGGCTGTAAGTCTTTCAGTCTACTTTTCTTTGGAACTTCTTTCTGACCTTTCTTTGACTTCTTTTGTAAGCTTTTCTTGACACTTTTCCTAGAATCAGTGTCCAAATCCTTCTCTGGGTTACTTAGTGCATGTGCAAGGCAGTGGTCCGGAACTTGATTTTCATCTGTTATGTGAACCTAAGTTTCAGATAGAAAAACATAAATAAATTGCTTATTACTTTTTCATATAACTAAAAATTACATTATACCTTGAAGTCTGACTTGAGATACTGCTTAGACTCACGAAGAGATCTCTCACAATCTGTAGCCCACTCCTGTCCACGTATTGGTATCAATTCTAGAACAATTTTAKTAAGGTCGTCMAATGCTTTGGCTCCATCTGCATGGTAATAGTCAAGGCCTTGAAGAGATTTCCTGTCTGTTGCAGAACATGCTGAAAGTACCCGCCTCATGGTGGACTCGCTGAAAGGCTTGTATTCTGTCTCCTTGCAATACTGAGTGTATTGTGCACATATTCGTGATGGGATCAGAGAACGGATCACATTCGGGGTTTCCAAAATATCACCATTGGATAACTTTAGATACCTCTGTCCAAATGGAAGATCTTGCACAATGTGAGGGCTGGTTATAAAGCACAAAAAGTGATCTAATTGTCCTTCATCTATACTAATACGATTGAGACGGGTCTTTGGCACAGGTGCGCCACGTCCATGTTGCAACCCGTGAATGCGGGCTATTTTCCA